TACTCAGTTAATGGTCCAATCATTACATTAACAATACGTTGGTTACAGGTCGCTTCACTGCATCATCTGCACATCATATCAATGGATTCCTAGATGTTAACTCTCCACACTTTAGCCCTAGTTGTCGTCCTGAGGCATAGTGTGGTTGAAACATGGATGTTGATCTGCAAGTTGCTGTCAGTAGGAAGGATTCCTTCCAAAACAAAGGATAGTTAACACCATAGGTGGTCATGGATGGCTTTGAACATGGATGGGAAAACAAATCTCACAATAGCATCAATTGACCCTATGGTGCAAAACAAAAAAGATCACAGGAATTCTTGCAGCTCCCTTTGGGGATGTTTTGGGGATAGAGAGGGGGGGGGGGGGGGGGTGGGGGGGGGTGGTTGAGGTGTGGTTCTTTAGGGCAGTCACCCCTCTTCCTTCCATTGGGAGGGACAGTGACCTTACAGCAGGCAAAGGTTGAAGGTTGTTCCCACAGCCTTTCTCTCTTCCTAGCACACACAAACGTGCACATACGTACACACCACGCAAATACACACACACACGTGCACACGCACACAGATGGATGGATGAAGGGACTAGAACATCAGGAGACTGATTATCAGACAGACAGACAGATTTACAGGAAGATACAGAGACAGGATAGCTCGCCATCCCTCTATTTACTCCACACAAACCCTCCATTCTGGAGACAATAATATCAATTTCCTCCAGATGAAGAAATGAAAAACAACCCATGATTATTAATAAAAGATGGAAATGACAGTAAAGACAGATTGAGGGGGAAGCTCTTTTTGCAGAATGATCTCCGGAAGAACTATTCTCAACGTATTTCAATCATTCTTTCTTTTCTTTTTCTACCAATAGACTAGGCTGCCTTAGCCACAACTTCTGACACACATTCCCATCCGTTTGTGTTTTCTCTAAAAGAGGTTAGTGGTAGCATGTAATCAGCGTATTAGCGAAAGACTGAAGAGAGAGAATTAATGAGGGGCTCTGGCTCACTGAAGCCCATTAAGGCAGGATAAGAGTCCTTAATTGTTTCCTGTGAGTCTGGATCTGAGGAGGCTAATTAATCCTCTTCCTCCATTATCAACCCTTCTTCTTTTTCTTCCTTGACCAGGCTCTTAATTAACGGGGTTCATTATGGGCCGTGATGGAGATCGTCGGAAGAGATCGTTTGACAGAGGTTGCTCTCTCTCTAGTCTCTAACCCAGAGCAACATGTATCACAGTGTTCTCTCTTAGTTAGTAAAACCTACATCAGTAGCATATAACCTCAGTATTTTAGCCTACAGTCTTGCTAGTTTTCTTATATCTTTGTTATTGGGTATGTTCCAAGTCGTCTTTACTGCAGTTGGGCTGCAACATATGATCAGATCCCCCAATGCCTGGAGAAGTGTTAAAGTAATAGCCTTTTCATCTTCTCTGACTATGGAAATATGTGGTCCTCTGTAGCTCAGCTGGTAGAGCACGGCGCTTGTAAACGCCAAGGTAGTGGGTTCGATCCCCGGACCACCCATACACAAAATGTATGCACGCACGACTGTAAGTCGCTTTGGATAAAAGCGTCTCCCTAAATGGCATATTATTATTATTATAATGTTCCTTGTATTTCAATTGTACAGTAAATCTATCATCACAGACTTCAGCTGAAGACAGAAGAAGAACCTATTTCTTGGTAAACTATTTTCATATGATTCCCTATTTTCCCATGTCAGCTGTGCCAACACGGGGTGGAGGGCTCTCGCTCACCTCGAAGCCAGCTTTAACGATACAAATAAATGTCGGCCCATTGAACTGTTTGCAACAGGGAAGTTAACACAGATATGACTTACTGTGGAAGACTTACTGTGACTTAAAGATGGTTTTCTCCACTAAACAAAGCAGAAATCCATCCCAAGCAAATATGGCACCTTGCCTCCATCTGCTATGAGTAGAACCGTACCAAAAGCACTGTTTGTCTTACTTTTAATGGGGGTTTCATGTGGTATTAGACAATGGGCAATAAAGTCTGCAATTGTTTTTCCTTTGGTGGATAAAGTTTTAGCAAATGTTTCCTTTGATCCCAGGTGTGTGTGTGTGTGTGCGTACATGTATGTGTATGTGCGTCGTGTGCGTATACAAAACGTGTACTGTATTTCTGTGTGTGCAAGGTAATACACCGAGTGTGTATTGGGGAGATGGGAGGAAGGCAGATTATAGGAAATGTATCTCTGAGCCCCTTTTGAGATGTGCGCTAAAGAGCGTTCCTCCCTGGAGTAGCAAAAATGTGCATGTGCTCAACGTTTATGAATCCTAATATACCAGTATTG